GCGTGCCGACGGTTCTGGGGGGCTGCAGGGCCCTGGGCGTTGGAATTGGGGTGGCCAGGCCATCCGGGAGGAGGATTTCAATCCTGTGACCTGGGGAGAGAACCCAGGAGTCCTGGCTCCCAGCCCCCACTCCCCTCCCGGAGCCAGGGAGAGAACCCAGGCGTCCTGGCTCCCGGCCGCTGGCTGCGTGGTGTGTGTGAGGTGGGGATGCCGGGGGGTCTCGCTCTCACGCGTTAACGTCTGCGCCCTTCTTCCCTCTGCTCCCCCCGCGCCACTACAGAGCTATAAACGTGCCATCGGCGAGGTTAGTGCGTCCGTGTGTCTGGGCCCGGCCCGGCCTGTCCTGTCTGCTGCTCTGTGCTTCGCCCCTCAGCGCCGGGAGAGAACCCAGGCGTCCTGGCTCCCAGCCCCCACTGCCCTCCCAGCGCGGGGGAGAGAACCCAGGAGTCCTGGCTCCCAGCCCCCACTGCCCTCCCAGAGCCGGGGAGAGAACCCAGGAGTCCTGGCCCCCAGCCCCCACTGCCCTCCCAGAGCCGGGGAGAGAACCCAGGAGTCCTGGCTCCCAACCCCCACTGCCCTCCCAGCGCCGGGGAGAGAACCCAGGCGTCCTGGCTCCCAGCCCCCATTGCCCTCCCAGCGCCGGGGAGAGAACCCAGGAGTCCTGGCTCCCAGCCCCCACTGCCCTCCCAGCACGGGGGAGAGAACCCAGGAGTCCTGGCTCCCAGCCCCCACTGCCCTCCCAGCGCGGGGGAGAGAACCCAGGAGTCCTGGCTCCCAGCCCCCACTGCCCTCCCAGAGCTGGGGAGAGAACCCAGGAGTCCTGGCCCCCAGCCCCCACTGCCCTCCCAGAGCGGGGAGAGAACCCAGGAGTCCTGGCCCCCAGCCCCCACTGCCCTCCCAGAGCCGGGGAGAGAACCCAGGAGTCCTGGCTCTCAGCCCCCCCTGCTCTAACTCCCAGGCCTCACTCCCCTCCTGGAGCCGGGAGAGAACCTAGGAGTCCTGGCTCCCAGCCCCCACTGCCCTCCCAGCGCGGGGGAGAGAACCCAGGAGTCCTGGCTCCCAACCCCCACTGCCCTCCCAGCGCCGGGGAGAGAACCCAGGAGTCCTGGCTCCCAGCCCCCACTGCCCTCCCAGAGTCGGGAGAGAACCCAGGAGTCCTGGCCCCCAGCCCCTCCTGCTCTAACTCCCAGGCCTCACTCCGCTCCCGGAGCCAGGAGAGAACCCAGGAGTCCTGGCTCCCAAACACCCTGCTCTAACCTCCCAGCCCCCACTGCCCTCCCAGAGCCGGGGAGAGAACCCAGGCGTCCTGGCTTTCAAACCCCCATCCCCCATTCCTTCCCCTGGCGTTTGGGGGCCATGCCCCGGTTCAGGAGCTCCCCACCCTGCTGGCTGCTTGTGTGCGGTGTGGCTGTTAGCCAGGTGTGGGGAGCGTGGCACTAACCCCCCGCCCGGCCCCCCAGAATTTCGTGCTGCTGAAGGAGCGGCCCGAGGAGCCCCCCAAGCCCCCCAAGAAGGCCATGGACTACTCCTCCTCCAGTGACGAGCCGGACAGCAGCGAGGAGGAGGACGACGAGGCCGAGGGGGAGCCCCAGGATGCGGGGGGTGAGCCCAGCGGGACCAGGTAGGGCATGGGGTGCCGGGGAGGTAGGGGATGGGAAGAGGAGCAGTGGGGGGACAATGTAGGGGACGGGAGGTGGGGGGACAGGAAGGGAAGGTGGGGGGCAATGTAGGGGACGGGAGGTGGGGGGACGGGGATGGGAAGGGGAGCAGTGGGGGGGAAATGTAGGGGGGGGGGTGGGGGGGGGGGGGGGGAGAGTGGGGGGGAAATGTAGGGGACGGGAGGTGGGGGGACGGGGATGGGAAGGGGAGCAGTGGGGGGACAATGTAGGGGACGGGAGGTGGGGGGACGGGAAGGGGAGCAGTGGGGGGACAGGGGGAACGGGAAGGGAAGGTGGGGGGACGGTGCAGGGGCGGGGGGCCCGGGGGCAGGAGGGATCCGGCCCCTCACCCCCCCCCCCCCCCAGGCCGAGCGGGGACGGGGACACCGACAGCGTCAGCACCATGGTGGTTCACGAGGTGGAGGAGCCGTCGGGCAGCGGGTCGGAGAGCGGCTCCTACGGCGGGGACGGCACCATGCTGGTGCAGCGGGTGAGCCGTGCCCGGGGGGCAAGGGACGGGGGCCATGCCCGGGGGGCTGGGACGGAGCACTGTGCCCCGGGGGGATGGGACGGGGGGGGCCGTGCCTCAGGGGCTGGGATGGAGTGCTGTGCCCCGGTGGGGATGGGACGGGGGGGCTGTGCCCGGGGGCTGGGACGGAGCACTGTGCCCCGGGGGGGATGGGACGGGGGGCCGTGCCCGGGGGTGATGGGGGGCTGTGCCTCAGGGGCTGGGATGGAGTGCTGTGCCCCGGGGGGGATGGGACGGGGGGTCCGTGCCTGGGGGGGATGGGACGGGGGCCGTGCCCGGGGGGGAAGGGGGCTGTGCCCGGGGGCTGGGACAGAGCACTGTGCCCCGGGGGGGATGGGACGGGGGGGCCGTGCCCGGGGGGGATGGGGGGGCTGTGCCTCGGGGGCTGGGATGGAGTGCTGTGCCCCGGGGGGGATGGGACGGGGGCCGTGCCCGGGGGGGAAGGGGGCTGTGCCCGGGGGGCTGGGACAGAGCACTGTGCCCCGGGGGGGGATGGGACGGGGGGGCCGTGCCCGGAGGGGATGGGGGGGCTGTGCCTCGGGGCCTGGGATGGAGTGCTGTGGCCCGGGGGGGTTGGGATGGGGGCGCTGTGCCCCGGGGCGGCTGGGACGTAGCGCCGTGCCCGGGGGGGATGGGGGGCCGTGCCCCGGGGGGAAGGGGGCCGTGCCCTGGGGGCTGGGACGTAGTGCCGTGCCCGGGGGGGATGGGGGGCCGTGCCCGGGGGGGTTGGGGGGGCTGTGCCCCGGGGGCTGGGACGTAGCGCCATGCCCGGGGGGGATGGGGGGCCGTGCCCCGGGGGGCTGGGACGTAGCGCTGTGCCCCGGGGGGGCAGGGACGTAGCGCTGTGCCCGGGGGGGATGGGGGGCCGTGCCCGGGGGGTTGGGGGGCTGTGCCCCGGGGGCTAGCGGTGGGGGGGACGGGCGCCGTGCCCGGGGGGGGGGAGTGCCGGGGTGGGGCCGTGCCCGGGGGGGTTGGGGGGCTGTGCCCCTGGGGGCTGGGACGTAGCGCCGTGCCTGGGGGGGACGGGGGGGCTGTGCCCCGGGGGCTGGGACGTAGCGCCGTGCCCCGGGGGGGCTGGGACGTAGCGCCGTGCCCGGGGGGGATGGGGGGCCGTGCCCCGGGGGGGAAGGGGGCCGTGCCCTGGGGGCTGGGACGGAGCGCTGTGCCCCGGGGGGGTTGGGAAGGGGGGGCCATGGCCCGGGGGGCTGACCCCAGGGACGGGGATCCCCCCGTGCCCCCCGCTGACCCCCCCGTTCCCCCGCAGACCCCCGAGGAGGAGCGGAGCCTGCTGCACGCCGACAGCAACGGCTACACCAACCTGCCGGACGTGGTCCAGCCCGGCCACTCGCCCACCGAGCCCAAGGGCCAGGGCGGCTCCCCCGCCAAGGACAGCGCCAGCGACGTGAGCCCCCGCGCGGGCTGCTGGGGGAGGGGCAGGTGGGGGAGGGGGAGCTGGAGGGGGGGCCATGTCTCACCTTGTCCTTCCCCCCCCAGTACCAGTCGCGGGGGCTGGTCAAGGCCCCTGGCAAAAGCTCCTTCACCATGTTTGTGGACCTGGGCATCTACCAGACCACGGGCAGCGGGGACACCATCCCCATCACCGGTGAGTGGGCTGCGGGGGGCACTGGGGGGGTGCTGGGCAGCAGGGACACCATCCCCATCACGGGTGAGCGGGCGGCGGGGGGCATTGGGGGGCTGCAGGGGGGTGCCGGGCAGCGGGGACACCATCCCCATCACCGGTGAGCGGGCTGCGGGGGGCACTGGGGGGCTGCAGGGGGGTGCCAGGCAGCGGGGAAACCATCCCCATCACCGGTGAGTGGGCTGCGGGGGGCACTGGGGGGGTGCCGGGCAGCGGGGACACCATCCCCATCACCGGTGAGCGGGCGGCGGGGGGCACTGGGGGGCTGCAGGGGGGTGCCGGGTGGCAGGGGGCACTGGGGGGCTGCAGGGGGGGCGCGGGCTGCGGGCAGAGGGCTCAGCGGCGGGCTGCGGCAAGGCTTGGCGGGGGCAGCCCGGCCGCTGACCCCCCTCTCCCCACAGCGCTGGTGGGGGCGGACCCCAGGCAGCTGGAGCAGCTGCAGCTGGAGGTGCGGAAGGGCTCGGTGGTGAACGTGAACCCCACGAACACGCGGCCCCACAGCGACACCCCCGAGATCCGCAAGTACAAGAAGCGCTTCAACTCGGAGATCCTGTGCGCCGCCCTGTGGGGTGAGCGGGGGGCGGGCGGGGGATCCTGGGGGTCGCCGTGGGGACGGGGTGGAGGGCGTTGCTCTGGGGCCAGCAGGGAGGAGGGGGTGGTCCCAGGGGGCTGAGCAGGGAGGAGGGGGTGGTCCCAGGGAGGAGGGCTCGCTGTGGGGCGGGCGGGGAGGAGGAGGGCTCGCCGTGGGGCGGGCGGGTCTCACGCTGTCCCCCCCCGTGCCTAGGGGTGAACCTGCTGGTGGGGACGGAGAACGGGCTGCTGCTGCTGGACCGCAGCGGGCAGGGGAAGGTGTACGGCCTGATCAGCCGCCGGCGCTTCCAGCAGATGGCCGTGCTGGAGGGCCTCAACCTGCTCACCACCATCTCGGGTAGGGTCCCCGGCCCCCCATGGGGCCCCCCACGGCGCCCCCCACGGCCCCTGTGACCCCCACGGGCCTCCACCTGCTCACCACCATCTCGGGTAGGGTCCCCGGCCCCCCGCGGCACCCCCCGCGGCCCCTGTGACCCCCACGGGCCTCCACCTGCTCACCACCATCTCGGGTAGGGTCCCCGGCCCCCCATGGGGCCCCCCACGGCGCCCCCGCGGCCCCTGTGACCCCCACGGGCCTCCACCTGCTCACCACCATCTCGGGTAGGGTCCCCGGCCCCCCATGGGGCCCCCCACGGCGCCCCCGCGGCCCCTGTGACCCCCACGGGCCTCCACCTGGTCACCACCATCTCGGGTAGGGTCCCCGGCCCCCCCATGGGGCACCCCCGCAGCACCCCCGCGGCCCCTGTGACCCCCACGGGCCTCCACCTGCTCACCACCATCTCGGGTAGGGTCCCCGGCCCCCCGCGGCACCCCCGCAGCACCCCCCGCGGCCCCTGTGACCCCCACGGGCCTCCACCTGCTCACCACCATCTCGGGTAGGGTCCCCGGCCCCCCGCGGCACCCCCCGCAGCACCCCCCGCGGCCCCTGTGACCCCCACGGGCCTCCACCTGCTCACCACCATCTCGGGTAGGGTCCCCGGCCCCCGCGGCACCCCCCGCAGCACCCCCCCGCGGCCCCTGTGACCCCCACGGGCCTCCACCTGCTCACCACCATCTCGGGTAGGGTCCCCGGCCCCCCGCGGCACCCCCCGCAGCACCCCCCGCGGCCCCTGTGACCCCCCACGGGCCTCCACCTGCTCACCACCATCTCGGGTAGGGTCCCCGGCCCCCCGCGGCACCCCCGCAGCACCCCCCGCGGCCCCTGTGACCCCCACGGGCCTCCACCTGCTCACCACCATCTCGGGTAGGGTCCCCGGCCCCCCGCGGCACCCCCGCAGCACCCCCCGCGGCCCCTGTGACCCCCCACGGGCCTCCACCTGCTCACCACCATCTCGGGTAGGGTCCCTGGCCCCCCACGGCGCCCCCCGCGGCCCCTGTGACCCCCACAGGCCTCCACCTGCTCACCACCATCTCGGGTAGGGTTCTCGGCCCCCTACACTGTCCCCCGCAGCCCCTGTGACCCCCATATCCTCCGCGGCCCCTGTGACCCCCACGGGCCTCAACCTGCTGACCACCATCTCGGGTAAGGGCCCCCCGGCGCCCCATGGCCAGCTCTCCCCGGCTCAGCGCCCGTCTCGCCCAGGGAAGAGGAACAAGCTGCGGGTCTATTACCTGTCCTGGCTTCGCAACAAGATCCTGCACAACGACCCCGAGGTGGAGAAGAAGCAGGGCTGGACCACGGTGGGCGACATGGAGGGCTGCGTTCACTACCGCGTGGGTAAGAGCCCCTGCCCCACGGCCACCCCACTGCCGCGCGGGCACCAGACCCCGGCCCTGCCCCGCCCCACGGCCACCCCACTACCGCGTGGGCACGAGACCCCGCCCCCTGCGGCCTGGCCACGCCCCCTCCCTGCCCCTGGCCACCCCACTACCGCGTGGGCACGGGACCACGCACCCTCCCTGCCCCCTGGCTGTTACAGGGCTTCTTCCTTCACCCTCCCACTTCCCTGGTCCTTCTCGCATCAACACCCGAACTCCGAAGGTGCGAACAGTCGGATGGTTATTGGGGGGATCTTCCAGCGAGCTTCAGCCCAACTTCCTGTCTGCCCCTATTTCCCAAGCCCCACTTCCTTCCTGTCTGCCCCTAATTCAGCGAGTAATGGTCTGAGCTACCCCTTCACGGCAGTCCGTCCGCCCAATCCGAACGTGGGAAGGTGATTCTCTGACCAATCACACCCCACGGCGCTAACGGCTCGCAGCAGACAGCCGCGTAGCGCCCCAGCCCGCCTGCCGCCGGGAAAGTGGGGGGCACGAAGATCAGACGGACGGAAATGAGGGTTCCCTCCGTACGCCTGGCCGACGGTGATTTTCATTCTTTGCGTTTCTACCGACGTGATCTTAGAGTCTGCGCCTGTAGGTGCCACCCCCCAGTAGCGCGGGGGTAAGGGAGCCCCCCACGGCACAGCCATACCCCACCCTCCCCCCGCGGCCCGGCCAGACCCCGTTACTGCACGGGTAAGAGATCACCCCCCAGCTCTGCTGGTCTCCTCCCTCCCGAAGCACAGCCCCGCCCCCGCACTGGCCCCCAGATCTCCGCTCCCCCTGCCCCATGGCGCCGCACCCTGGCTGGGGAGTGACCGGGGCCCGGCTCTCTCGGCAGTGAAGTACGAGCGCATCAAGTTCCTGGTGATCGCCCTGAAGAACTCGGTGGAGGTCTACGCCTGGGCCCCCAAACCCTACCACAAGTTCATGGCCTTCAAGGTATCAAGGGGGGCTGGGAGCCAGGACTCCTGGGTTCTCTCCCCGGCGCTGGGAGGGGAGTGTGGGAGCTGGGAGTCAGGACGCCTGGGTTCTCTCCCCGGCTCTGGGAGGGGAGTGGGGGCTGGTGGGTGAGAGCAGGGGGGGCTGGGAGCCAGGACTCCTGGGTTCTCTCCCCGGCTCTGGGAGGGGAGTGTGGGAGCTGGGAGTCAGGACGCCTGGGTTCTCTCCCCGGCTCTGGGAGGGGAGTGGGGGCTGATGGGTTAGAGCAGGGGGGGCTGGGAGCCAGGACTCCTGGGTTCTCTCCCCGGCGCTGGGAGGGGAGTGTGGGAGCTGGGAGTCAGGACGCCTGGGTTCTCTCCCGGCTCTGGGAGGGGAGTGGGGGCTGGTGGGTGAGAGCAGGGGGGGCTGGGAGCCAGGACCCTGGGTTCTCCCCGGGCTGGGAGGGGAGTGTGGGAGCTGGGAGTCAGGACGCTGGGTTCTCTCCCCAGCTCTGGGAGGGGAGTGGGGGCTGGTGGGTGAGAGCAGGGGGGGCTGGGAGCCAGGACTCCTGGGTTCTCTCCCAGCTCTGGGAGGGGACTGTGGGAGCTGGGAGTCAGGCGCCTGGGTCTCTCCCGGCTCTGGGAGGGGAGTGGGGGCTGGTGGGTGAGAGCAGGGGGGGCTGGGAGCCAGGACTCCTGGGTTCTCCCCAGCTCTGGGAGGGGAGTGTGGGAGCTGGGAGTCAGGACGCCTGGGTTCTCTCCCCAGCTTGGGGAGGGCAGTGGGGTGCAGTGGTTAGAGCGGGGGGCTGACCCCGCACACTGACTCCCCACCCCCCCGTTTCAGTCCTTCGCAGACCTGCCGCACCGGCCGCTGCTGGTGGAGTTGACGGTGGAGGAGGGTCAGAGGTTAAAGGTCATCTACGGGTCGTGCGCCGGGTTCCACGCCATTGACGTGGACTCAGGAAACAACTACGACATCTACATCCCCGTGCACGTGAGGGGGCGGGGCGATGGGGGCGGGGCACGGGGGGATGCCCACGCAAGTGGGCGCCGGGGTGGCCTTGGGCGTGCACGCACCCACACAGCACTGGGGGGTCAGGCCATGGGGCGGGTGGGTGCCCTTTGCCCCCTGACCTTTGCCCTGTGCCAGCAGATCCAGACCCACATCACGCCCCACGCCATCATCTTCCTGCCCAACACGGAGGGCATGGAGATGCTGCTCTGCTACGAGGACGAGGGCGTCTACGTCAACACCTACGGGCGCATCATCAAGGACGTGGTGCTGCAGTGGGGGGAGATGCCCACCTCCGTGGGTGAGCCCGGACGCCTGGGTCCTCCCGGGTTCTCTCCCCAGCTCTGGGAGGGGAGTGGGGGCTGGGAGTCAGGACTCCTGGGTTCTCTCCCCAGCTCTGGGAGGGGAGTGGGGGCTGGTGGGTGAGAGCGGGGGGGCTGGGAGTCAGGACTCCTGGGTTCTCTCCCCAGCTCTGGGAGGGGAGTGGGGGCTGGTGGGTGAGAGCGGGGGGGGCTGGGAGTCAGGACTTCTGGGTTCTCTCCCCAGCTCTGGGAGGGGAGTGGGGGCTGGTGGGTGAGAGCGGGGGGGACTGGGAGTCAGGACTCCTGGGTTCTCTCCCCAGCTCTGGGAGGGGAGCGGGGGCTGGGAGTCAGGACTCCTGGGTTCTCTCCCCAGCTCTGGGAGGGGAGTGGGGGCTGGGAGTCAGGACTCCTGGGTTCTCTCCCCAGCTCTGGGAGGGGAGTGGGGGCTGGGAGCCAGGACTCCTGGGTTCTCTCCCCAGCTCTGGGAGGGGAGTGGGGGCTGGGAGTCAGGACTCCTGGGTTCTCTCCCCAGCTCTGGGAGGGGAGCGGGGGCTGGTGGGTGAGAGCCGGGGGGGTTGGGAGTCAGGACTCCTGGATTCTCTCCCTGGCTGTGGGAGAGGAGAGGGACCTGGTGGGTTAGAGCCGGGGGGCTGGGAGCCAGGACTCCTGGGTCCAGTGAGGAAGGGTCCCCCCTGACTCTCTAACCCCCCCCCCCCCCCCCCCCCCCCAGCGTACATCTGCTCCAACCAGATCATGGGCTGGGGCGAGAAGGCCATCGAGATCCGCTCCGTGGAGACGGGGCACCTGGACGGGGTTTTCATGCACAAGCGGGCCCAGCGCCTCAAGTTCCTGTGCGAGCGCAACGACAAGGTGGGCCCTAGGGGGCGCCGGGCGGCAGGGAGTGGGGCAGGGAGCTCAGCAGGGGGGTCTCCCCAGAGCTAGTTCTGTCCCCAGTGTCCCGGCAGCAAGGGTGTTCGACAGCTGCTGTGCCCCGCCCCGGAGGTGGCCGCATCTCGGTGCCGGGCGAGGGGTCCCCAGGTCACCCGCCGCCCCGCCCCAGAGGTGGGCGCGTCTCGGTGCCGGGCGAGGGGTCCCCGTGAAACCCGCCGCCCCGCCCCAGAGGTGGGCGCATGCCAGACTTACTCCTGCTCTGCTCCCCCTCAGGTTTTCTTCGCCTCCGTCCGCTCCGGGGGCAGCAGCCAGGTTTACTTCATGACACTCAACAGAAACTGTATCATGAACTGGTAAAAGGCCCCGCCCCTGGTGCTGGCTCCGCCCCAGCACTGGCCCCGCCTCTGGAGGGAAGGGGCGGGGCCCCCTCAGACACTGGATCCCTATGCCGGAGACTCCGCCCCCACAGCCAGCGAGGATCAGGACCGACCAATCAGCAGAACTGATGCCTTGATCGCCTTCCCCCCCACCCATGTCTGATGCTGCTTCGGGGGGGGCATCTCCATGGTGACAGTGTGTGTCCCCCCCCGACTGACAGACTGACTGCCCTCCGCTTCGCTCGCCCGCCCCCTCCTCCGACTCATGGGGACCTGCTTTGTTCATAGCCGGGCCGAAATCTCGGCGCCGGGCGAGGGGTCCCCGGGTCACCCGCCGCCCCGCCCCAGAGGTGGGCGCATCTCGGCACCGGGCAAGGGGTCCCCGGGTCACCCGCCGCCCCGCCCCAGAGGTGGCCGCATCTCGGCGCCGGGCGAGGGGTCCCCGGGTCACCCGCCGCCCCGCCCCGGAGGTGGGCGCATCTCAGTGCCAGGCGAGGGGTCCCAGGCGTGTGTGGGGTGACGGGCAACCCCCCCGATGAAACACAAGGAGGGAGGTGGCCGCAGGCCCAGGCTGGGGGGACCCAGTGCTGTCGCTGTGGGGCGCTGCACCTGCCACGCCCCTGTGGAGGGGACTCAGAGCGGCCGGGGGGCGCAGACCCAGCGCTTTGTGCCAATTTCACTTTGCTTAGAGGGGGGACGGGGCCTTTCCCGCCACCTGGGTCGGAGCCGCGGTGGTGGTAGGGAACCCCCAAAGCAGCCCCCAGACTGCCTTGTGCACCCCCAGAACTCCTCCCCCTGCAGGTCCTGGGCCGGGCAGACGGGGGCGACCCGCCGCAGGCGTCTGGGGGGCGAATGTACCGGGGGACATGGGGGGAGGCGGAATGGCCCCTCCGGGCTCTGTGTATATTTTGCTTTAATTATTTTTATTTTGTAACAATGATTCATTAACAAAGCACTTTAAAGCCCCGACTGCATCTCGTGGGGGGCCGGGAACACCCCCCGGGGCAGATTTGGGGTTATTCTCTAACTGATCCAGGAGAGCTGGTCCTAGGGCAGGGACTGGCTGGCTCAGGGGGGCGGGGAATGGGGCAGGAACCTGTCCCCTCTAGGGGGCACCAGTTCCCTTCCAGCCCCATGGGAGCCGGGCTGCAGCAGCAGTGCAAGGGTTAAACTGGGGGGCACAGAGCCAGCATGCTGATTCCCCTCCCTGCCCCTCTGACGCTGCCTGCAGTTGAGGGGTCCTGCCTGGGGGCCCCCCAAGAGCCATATGGAGTGTGGGGGGGGTTATGGAGTTCATGGGACCCCCCCAGTATTCAGTTTCCTCTGTACGTTGCTTGCATCTATCAAGCCCCCCCCCATCCCACCCCGCGCCGTGGCCTTGAAATTTCATCTGTTAATAAAAAACCAAATTCTATGACTTTCCCCGCCTGGTCCGGAGTTATTTACCCCGCGGGGGGCGGGCAGCGGGCAGCCCCACCCCCGGGAGGTGCCGGCAGGAGGCGGTTGGCACTGACCAGCAGGAGAGTTGGCGGAAGCCCCTGGCTGTGGCTTGATCCGGTTCGTCTCGGGCAGCTGGGGCAGGGTAGGTGGGGCAGGGCCCGGGGGGAGAGCCAGGGCACACTGAGGAAGTGGAGTTCACGGGGCCAATCCCCACTATCCCAGTGGGTGTTGCAACAATGTCAGGACCCCGAGTAAACTCTCGTCCTCATTCCGAGGGTCCTTATCACCCCCGTGCCGCCTTCCTGTTCTTCTGCCCAAGCGTAGTAACCTCCAGACCAGGCACCCGCAGACTCCGGCCGGTGCCGCAGAGAATTTTGGCAGAACCGTGTCGGTGAGAAGTGGGATTGTTTAAGAAAATCTCAAAAGCCACCAGGAAAGATGCTGAGAAGCCAGCCCGGCAGCAAGAGCAGCGTCGAATGGACGACCATGGCCGAATGTAAACCCGACTGTAGGACACTGATGAGGAAAGCTAAAGGCCAGAGGGAGAACTGGGGGGGTCAGCCGGCGGCGTTAAGAACGCGCGTGGTCACTGTATCGGGGACAAACCGAAGCCTGACAAGGAGTTCACACACATGTCAAGGGAGCGTTCGCGGTGAAGTGGCCGTTAACACCCCACCAGTCATGGCGGGGGCGGGGAACTGCTGTACTGAACCATCCATCCAGCCTGTCTCAGTCCCTGGTTTTGGGTGTCTGGCACAGTGATGAATTTCAGCTCCCCGGTTCCTCTGGATCTGTGACCCTCAGAATATCCCAATGCCCCCCAGCCCCCATAACTGGAGGGGTGGTAACAGGCTACTTCGCCTCAAATGGTCCCTTGAAATGTGTGTTTAGCTGAGTCCCTCTCCCAGCCTGCAGAAGGGCTCGGTGGGGCGCGAAAGCTCGTCTCTCCCACGAATAAAATACATTCCCTCCCCCACCTTGTCTCGCTCAAGGTAGCCACTGGATGACTTGCCACCAAGAGTTTTAAAAGAGCTGGCCGAGCAGCTCACTGAAACATTCGTGTTGATTTTCAGTAACTCTTGGAGCACTGGGCAAGTTCCAGGGGACTGGAAGAAACCCAACGCTGTGCCAGTGTTTAAAAAGGGCAAACGGGCTGACCTGAGTATTTCGAGGCCTGTCAGCCGGACATGGATCGTGGGCAGGATAGTGGAGCAGCTTGATACAGGACTCGATTAATAAAGCAAGGCAGGGTAATTAATGCAAACTGACATGGGATTGTGGCAAACAGAACCTGTCAAGCCATCTGATCTCTTTTTTTTGACGAGAACAGAAGCGGGGGATGACAGTGTTGACGTAGTAGACGAGGACTCCGGTGAGGCCTTTGGCTCGGCACCGCCGAACGGTTTGATTGGAACAGGGCCCGTGTTAAACGAACTAAAACCTGGTAACTGATCGGTCTCGACCGTACCTGGCAACGCGGAATCGTCATCGAGCAGCTCGCTTTCCGGTGGTGTCCTGGGCTCAGGGACCTGCGAAACATAAGAAACGTAAGAACACCCCAATAAAGATTGCAGGTGACCCCAAAATTGTGGGAAATGAGGAAGAGGCCGTGTCCCCGGTTCAGAGCGATGTGGGTCACAGCCCCATACTGTGGTTTGAATGTCAACGTGCACAACAAGGAACGAAGCGCGTCAGCCCTACACAGGGGCCGGGGGAGTCTCTCCGGGGGCGCAGCGGCTCTGAAGCAGATTTGGGGGGCGCGTGGTGGGTAATCAGCGGAACGTGAGCTCCCGGCGCGACGCTGTGAGCAAAGGGGCGAATGCGACCCTGGCCTGCGTCAGCGGGAGTCTCGCGTCGGGCAGAGGGGCGACCCGCCGGGGGGCGAGTACATCGGAGGGGGGTCAGAGAAGAGCCGCGAGAAGGATTCAAAACCCTGCCTTCGAGTGAGAGACTCCAGGAGCTCAATTAGCTGCACGGCGCGGCGGCGAAGGGGTGACTGATCCCGGGCTGTGAGGGCCGGCGCGGGGAGCGAATGTTCACAACGGGCTCCTCAGACTGGCAGAGGCAGGTCCCACCCGGGCCGAGGGTTGGAACCAGGCGAATTCGGGCTGGAAACAAAATGCAAAACGTCTAACGGTGAGGGGGCCCGGTGGGTTAGAGCAGGGGGGGCTGGGAGCCAGGACTCCTGGGTTCTCTCCCCGGCTCTGGGAAGGAAGTGGGGGCCCAGTGGGTTAGAGCAGTGGGGGCTGGGAGCCAGGACTCCTGGGTTCTCTCCCTGGCTCTGGGAGGGGAGTGGGGCCCGGTGGGTTAGAGCAGGGGGGGCTGGGAGCCAGGACTCCTGGGTTCTCTCCCCGGCTCTGGGAGGGGAGTGGGGGCTGGTGGGTCAGAGCAGGGGGGGCTGGGAGCCAGGACTCCTGGGTTCTCTCCCTGGCTCTGGGAGGGAAGCGGGGGCTGGTGGGTTAGATCGGGGGGGAGGGCTGGGAGCCCGGACTCCTGGGTTCTCTCCCCGGCTCTGGGAGGGGAGCGGGGGCTGGTGGCTCAGGCTCTCTCTCTAACACACTCTCTGGCCTGTCAGCCCCTGGGATGTGGGGGGAACAGGTGCAGCGAGGGGGGGGTGGGAAAGTGACTCGACACCGGTGGACTGGGGGGGGGAGAGATCCAGTGTCTGTCCCACCCCGGAAGCCGGAATCAACCTCAAAATAACTTGCCCCTTTTCCAGCCGCCGCGGCCGGGAGGGGGACTCGGCCGCGATGCGGGGACTGGGGGTGCTGCTCCTCGCCCTGCTGTGCGGGGGGGTCAGTGGTAAGTTGGGAGGAGGAAACCTGAGCCCTCCGGGGGGGCCCTGACATCCATGGGGGGCCGATGGAGCCAGGCCCTGATTCCCCCGAAATGGGGGGGGTCTGAGCCAGTGGGGCGGGGGGCTGGGGACGGGGATAATCGGGAGGGGTTGAACCAGGACTGGGGCGGGGTGGGCGGCACAAAGTGGTGGGAGGGCAGGGCTGGGGGCGGGCTGCTCCCCACACCCCCGGGCCTGACCCCTGCCTGCCCCACAAGGGGCCCGGGGCGGGAACGAGGAGCTGCGGCTCTACGAGAAACTCTTCGCCGACTACGACAAGAACACGCGGCCGGTGAGGCACCCCGACGACACGGTGGAGGTGCAGATAATGCTGACGCTGACCAACCTCATCTCGCTGGTGAGAGGCCCCTCGCTCGCGGCCCACGGCCCCACGGCCCACGGCCGGCGCCCCTCGCTCCCGCCCCACGGCCGGCGCCCCTCGCTCCCGCTCCCTGGCCGGCGCCCTCGCTCCCGGCCCCACGGCCAGCCTGGCTGCACCCCTCGCTCCCGCCCCACGGCCCCACGGCCAGCGCCCCTCGCTCCCGCCCCACGGCCGGCGCCCCTCGCTCCCGCTCCCTGGCCGGCGCCCTCGCTCCCGCCACGGCCAGCCTGGCTGCACCCCTCGCTCCGCCCCCGGCCCCCGGCGCGCCCGCTCCCGCCCCACGGCGCGCCCCGCCCCGCTCCTGGCGGGCCGCCCGCCCCATGGCCGCCCCGCTCCGCTCCCTGGGGCGCCTCGCTCCCGCCCCATGGCGGCGCCTCGCTCCGCCCTGGCGGCCTCGCTCCCGCCCCACGGCCCCACGGCCAGCGCCCCTCGCTCCCGCCCCACGGCCGGCGCCCCTCGCTCCCGCTCCCTGGCCGGCGCCCCTCGCTCCCGCCCCATGGCCGGCGCCCCTCGCTCCCGCTCCCTGGCCGGCGCCCCTCGCTCCCGCCCCATGGCCGGCGCCCCTCGCTCCCGCTCCCTGGCCGGCGCCCCTCGCTCCCGACCCACGGCCAGCCTGGCTGCACCCCTCGCTCCTGCCCCACGGCCCCACGGCCAGCGCCCCTCACTCCCGCCCCACGGCCGGCCTGGCTGCACCCCTCGCTCCCGCCCCGCAGCCCCCCAAACCACGCTGATGGTCTCCATCCTGTTGCAGAATGAAAAGGAGGAGACTCTGACCACCAATGTCTGGATAAAGATTGTGAGTAACCCCCTCCCGCCCCACAGACACGGGGTCTCCTGCCCCACTCAGGCACCCCCAGACTCCTTGTTGACAAAGGCCCTCAAGTGACCCCAGAGTAGGATCTCACCTGCCCCCCTCCCCCCCATCGCACTGCCGGCCTGAGCCTGAGGAAAGAACCCAGGAGTTCTGGCTCCCAGCTGCTCCCGCTGCACTAATCCCCCAGTTCCAGCGAGTGACCTTGTCCTGCAGGGCCGTGGGGCAACTGCTATCCCCTGGCCCCCCCAGCTCTTCCGGTCCCCTCACTCCCGACCCGCAGCCCCTGCTAGTCCAGCCCCAGCCCTGCCGGTGCCCCTCACTCCCGACCCACAGCCCCTGCCAGCCCAGCCCTGGGCTCCTCGCACACAGCCCTGTGGCTAGGGGTGCAGGGGGTCCCCCAGCCTCACCCCCTGTGTCTCTGCCCCCAGGAATGGGTGGACTATCGGCTGAATTATAGCAACAGTGAATTCAAAGGGATCCGCTCCCTGCGGGTCCCCTCCGACATGGTCTGGCTGCCGGACATCGTCCTGGAGAACAAGTGAGACTGTGGCGGGGGGGGCTAAGGGCCGACGCCCCAGGGTGTGATGGGGAGGGAGGCTGTGGGGGGAAGCCGGATGACTTACAGGCTCAGGGACCCTGGGAGATTCGGGGTGGGGTGGGTTTCTGGGCTGGCAGGATTTTGACGGTTGCTGGAGTTTGCAGCAGTTGCACGGGGCAGATCTCAGGGGGACATGGGGCAGGGCTGGGGTGATAGTTCTTGGGTTGCGTGGGCCCCGCAGGGTGGGTTTGGGGGGCAGACCTATGTCACCCATCTCCCAGCATCCTCGGGGCTTTTTCCTACCGCTTCTCTCCCAGTAACTGGGGCCGCGACCTGCTTGCTCTGCGCCCCACGGGTTTTCTTCCCACTCGCAAGAGGGACGGGAAACGTCCGCACTTCTTCCTCCGGCAGTTGGTCACGGTCCCAGCCCCAGCTCCCGCTCCCTGTCAGCCAGGCCCGAAGGCCCCAGGAGAATCTGGAGCGGGGGGCTCTGGCTATGTCACGTGTAAACGCTCTCGGGCGTCCAGGCCTAACACCTCCTCGAACCCCGGACAGGGCGTGACTCGGAGAAGCAGCAGTTAATTGCGACCCTCACTGAGCCGAGCAAGTGTCTAGCCACACTTGCTAACGGGTCGGTGGCTCAGCTCGCCGAGCCTGTGTCTGGCTCCCTGCCTCCAGCCCCCGGCTTCCCCCACTCCCCCATTAACACTCAGCTCCGTGGCTGGGGCCTTGCCCAGGGACAGGGCCAGCCTGGGGCAGGGGCCTCGCGCTGCCCGCTGGGGCGAGGAGACCAGGGCACAGCTCCCCAGAGGACACCCGCTGCAGAGAAGCCCCAGGTCACCACCGGCTCCCGTTGGCGGATTGGGCACCAGGAGCTTCACCGCCAGCAGATTTTCCTCCGGCCCAGATGGCGGGTGGCTCGTTTGGGTCTGGCTTCGAGATCCCTCCAAGCTGGAGAGGGGCCAGGGGCCAGACCCTGGATCTCCACAGCTCTGGCCTGGCGCCACCGGCCGCTTGGATACCGATTGCTTGTGCCGGCTGCTGCTTTTGTTTGATGCTCTCGCTGCGATTCCCCAAGGAGTTGAGACGAGGCCATTTTCCGGGCGCAGAGAGGTCGGCCTCCGCCCTTTGCAGCGGCTGGTTAGGGTGCCGGTCTCACCGATCACGCACCAGCTTCCTGGTGACCCCACGGCCGACGTGGCCAGATTCCCACAGCTGGTGCCAGGTGAAAAGGATTTGTCATTCTTTCGGTCACAGCTTGTCGAATATCTCGGACAGCTGCTTCCTCGGCCCTCTCGCTTTCTGCCCACTTCCTTTGTCGCCGCTGCTGGTACGATTCCCATGGCCACACCGAAAATCAAGCAGAATCGTCTCTGCAAATGGCTCGTGCGCCGTGGACATGTTCCCGTCTCTCTTTGCTGCTGTGTTGTGGGAGATACCTGTTCCGTAGCTGTCCCATGGCTGAGGATTGAAGCAACGCAGATGTCTTCAACCCCACTTCCCTGCAGCCACACCCGTGGAATTCATGGCATCTCACGGGCGGCATCGTCAAATTCATTTGGATTCCCTCCCCTTCATCAGCTGGGCTCTGCAGTGGGCTGCTTCATCGTACATGACACCAGCCCTGGCTTGGCCCAGAGCGTGGGGCGTAACTCGAAAAAGAGTGGTGCAAAAAGCAGAAACTCAGTCAAATTACGGAGGATGAATATTTAAAAAAAAACAAAAACCATAAACAGGTAGGGACAAAATTAGAAAGGCCAAGGCACAAAACAAGATTCAACGAGCTGGGCGAAAAGGGGTAAGAAGAACACATTTTACAACTACGTTACAAGCAAGAGGACTTCCTGCCCTCAGGACGGGAGAATCCCAGGCACAGCTACAGACTAGGGACCGAATGGCTAGGCAGCAGTTCTGCAGAAAAGGACCTAGGGGTGACAGTGGACGAGAAGCTGGATATGAGTCAGCAGTGTGCCCTTGTTGCCAAGAAGGCCAGTGGCATTTTGGGATGTATACATAGGGACATTGCCAGCAGACCGAGGGACGTGATCGTTCCCCTCTATTCGGCACTGGTGAGGCCTCATCTGGAGTACTGTGTCCAGTTTTGGGCCCCACACTACAGAAGGGATGTGGACAAATGGGAGAGTCTCCAGCGGAGGGCAACAAAAAGGATTCGGGGGCACACATGACTTAGGAGGAGGGGCTGAGGGAACTGGGGATGTTTAGTCTGCAGAAGAGAAGAATGAGGGGGGATTTGACAGCAGCCTTCAACTACCTGAAAGGGGGTTCCAAAGAGGATGGAGCTCGGCTGGTCTCAGTGGTGGCCGATGACAGAACGAGGAGCAATGGTCTCAAGTTGCAGTAGGGGAGGTCTAGGTTGGATATTAGGAAACACTATTTCACGAGAAGGGTGGTGAAGCACTGGAATGGGTCACCTAGGGAAGTGGTGGAATCTCCTTCCTTAGAGGTTTTTAAGGCCCGGCTTGACAAAGCCCTGGCTGGGATGATTTAGTTGGGGTTGGTCCTGCTTTGAGCAGGGGGTTGGACTAGGTGACCTCCTGAGGTCCCTTCCAACCCTGATCTTCTATGATTCTATGAAGACCAAGGACAGGGTACGCCCATTGCTCATTGAGGAGGGAAAGACAATAACAAAAAACCGCAGCAGCGGCCTATGTGTTAAATGCCCTTTTTTTGTTTCAGTTTTCACCGAAAAGTTCGTGGTGACCAGACGACTAACACCGCGAACGTCCGTGTAAACGGGGTAGGATCTGAGGCTAAAATAAGGAAAGAACTACGTAGACAAGTTAGATGCCTCCAAGTTGGCAGAGTCTGATGGAACACGTGCCGGAGTACTCGAGAAACGGGCTGAAGAGGTCTGAGCCGTCGATGCACTCTTTCAGTACACGTGGCGGCGGGCGCACAAGCGGCTGGAAAACCGGTCCCAGAGAGTACTCATCAGCGGCTCGCAGTCAAGCTGGAAGAACCCAACAAGCAGGGTCCCCCCGCTGGAATCTGGCCTGAGTCTGGTTCTATTCAATGATTTCCGTAACGGCATAGAGAGCACACTTGCAACGTTTGCGGACGGTACCAAGCAGGGAGGGTGATAAATTGTTCTCCTCATCCACTGAGGACAGGAGAAGAAGCAAGGGGCTTAAACTGCAGCAGGGCCGTCCAGGTTGGACGTTAGGAAAAAGTCCCGCGCAGGGTGGTTACAGGCTGCAACAAACGAGCCAGGAAGGTTGCGGCGTCTCCGTCACTGGACGTTTTTTAAGAACAGGTTGGACGAACACCTGTCGGGGATGGTCTAGAAGAGAATACTTTGTCCTGCCTCGGCGTAGGAGGCTGGACTAGATGGATTATTCGGCTGGTTGTCCCCCTCCCTGGCGTTCCCACCCCTTTTTGGTCTGTCCCTGCTTTAGTGGCTCAGCCTCACATGGGGTGGGTCGTGCGTCCCAGTCCACCCCTGTCCGGGTATCCCAAAAGCCGGCCGGATCACAGAAAAGTCTTTCCGGGGACCCCCCCCCCCCAGCTGGATTCTCCACTGAGATGAAGGCGACCCAGAGCTGCTCCTTCACTCTCACAGGCTTCAGGCCACAGGGCAGGTTCGGGGGGTGCCGATCTTTTGGGGTGCACAGGCTTTGGTGTGTCAATATACGAGGGTGTCTCGTGGGCACCCAGGGATGCTGGTGGTTTTGTTTTTGGGGCACAGAGATGTTGTTTTCCGGGCTGCGTGGGGAGTGTCTGGGCTGCAGGGATTGGGGGGGGCCCTTGCTGACGCTCCCTTTCGCTTCTCCCCCCCAGCATCGACGGGCAGTTTGAGATCGCCTACTACGCAAACGTGCTGGTGTACCCCGGGGGGGCCATGTACTGGCTGCCCCCCGCCATCTACCGCAGCACCTGTGCCATTGAAGTCACCTACTTCCCCTTCGACTGGCAGAACTGCTCCCTCGTCTTCCAGTGAGTGAGATACGGCCACCTCTGGGGCGGGGTGCCTGGTTATCCAGGGACCCCTCGCCCAGTGCCAGGGCTGACCCTAAGGAGAGGGTGCTCCCTGCTGACTCCCCCATGTGCCCCCAGGTCCCAGACGTACAGCGCTAACGAGGTTGAACTGCAGCTCTCAATCAATGAGAAGACAGCCCGCCCCTTTGACGAGATCGATATAGACCCTGCCGCCTTCACAGGTATGGGGGGGCCTGGGACAGGGGATGTCTGCCAGGCTTCCCCCCCAGACCAGATCCCCCAGGGGGCAGAGGATGTCTGCCACAGCCCCCTAGCAGGTCCAATCCAGGGGGGAGGTGGTGTCTGCCAGGGTCCCCCAGTGGATCTCCCCCAAGGAGCGGGTGGTGTCTGCCACAGGTCCCCCAGAGGCAAATGTCTGCCGGGTCCCCCCCAGTGGGGGTCTTCCCAAAAGAGCAGGGGGTGCCCCCCAGAGAACCGCCTGCCTCCCACGCCTGTCGCCCTGCAGAGAATGGGGAGTGGGCCATCCGGCACCGGCCGGCCTGGAAGGTACTGCACCCAGAGCTGGGCCGGGAGGCGCTCGGCTTCCAGGAGATCCGCTTCTCACTCATCATCCAGCGCAAGCCCCTCTTCTACATCATCAACATCATCGTCCCCTGCGTGCTCATCTCCTCCCTCGTCGTCCTGGTCTACTTCCTGCCCGCCCAAGGTGAGCCCGGCCACGGGAAACGCCCTGTCGGCCACGGGGACGCCCTGCCGGCTACGGAAACCCCTGCTGGCCACGGGGACCCCCACCTGAAACCCCACCCAGCCACGGGGATGCCCTGCCGGCCACGGGAAACGCCCTGTCGGCCACGGGGACGCCCTGCCGGCTACGGAAACCCCTGCTGGCCACGGGGACCCCCACCTGAAACCCCACCCAGCCACGGGGATGCCCTGCCGGCCACGGGAAACGCCCTGTCGGCCACGGGGACGCCCTGCCGGCTACGGAAACCCCTGCTGGCCACGGGGACCCCCACCTGAAACCCCACCCAGCCACGGGGATGCCCTGCTGGCCACGGGAAACGCCCTGTCGGCCACAGGGACGCCCTGCCGGCTACGGAAACCCCTGCTGGCCACGGGGACCCCCACCTGAAACCCCACCCAGCCACAGGGATGCCCTGCTGGCCACGGGAATGCCCTGTCGGCCACAGGAATGCCCTGTCAGCCACGGGGACGCCCTGTCGGCCACAGGAAACCCCGCCCAGCCATGAGGATACCCTGCCAATCACGGGAAACCACGCCTGGGCACGCCTTACCAGCCACAGAGGCACCCAGCCCAGCCTAGAAGATGCCTAGCCAGCCATAGGAAACCACGCCCAGCCACAGGGATGCCCAGCCAGCCACGGGGAAACCCTGCCCGGCCCCAGAGCAAGGAGAGATGCTCCCTACCACACCCACGTGGGGGACAGGTTTGCTGGCACTAAGAGCAAAGGATAGGGGCATGAACCCCAATCTCTCCTGGCTGTCCCCCTCTGGGGGGCCCCAGGCTAGAAAGCCCCAGGCCCTGGGCAGGAGAGGGCAGAGCAGGATGTTGGAGGAAAGCCAAACGGCCCCATGTCACCCCTGTTCTCTGCCCCTGGCAGCCGGCGGCCAGAAATGCACCCTCTCCATCTCAGTGCTGCTGGCTCAGACTGTCTTCCTCTTCCTCATCGCCCAAAAAGTCCCAGAGACCTCGCTCAGCGTCCCCCTCATTGGCAAGTGAGTGACACCCCCCATCCCATTTCCCTGGGAACCAGGACTCCTGGGTTCTCTCCCCGGCTCTGGGAGGTCAGTGGGGTCTGGTTAGAGCAGGGGGGGCTGGGAGCCAGGACTCCTGGGTTCTCTCCCCAGCTCTGGGAAGGGAGTGGGGGCTGGTGGGTTAGAGCAGGGGGGCTGGGAGCCAGGACTCCTGGGTTCTCTCCCCGGCTCTGGGAAGGGAGTGGTGGCTGGTGGGTTGGCAGCAGGCTGGGAGCCAGGACTCCTGAGATCTCTCCCCGGCAGGTACCTGATGTTCGTCATGGGAGTGGCGACGCTGATCGTGATGAACTGTGTCATTGTGCTGAACGTTTCCCTGCGAACGCCAAACACCCACTGCATGTCTGAGCAACTCAAACATGTGAGGGTCGGGGGCAGAGGACAGTGGGGAGATGAGGGGGATCTGGGGAGGGAAGTGCCAGGGGGCTGGGGGTGGAGGGAGTGATCTGGGGATCAGTGTCAGGGGGTATGGGGGGCACCAGCCTTGGAGGGGAATTGGAGAACCAAAAACCAACCAAAGGGGGAATAGGAGTTGGGGAGTGGACCGAGCCTGGCTGGGTAATTGGGGGCTCAGGGCAGGGAAGAAAGGGTCCAAGGGCTGAGCCTGGACCCTTAGGTCCAGTATTTTAGATGTCTGTATACTAATGCGAGAAGTATGGGGAATAAGCGGGAAGAACTCGAAATGCTGGTAAATAAACACAACTATGAGATAGCTGGCGTCACGGAGATTCGGTGGGATAGTACGCATAACCAAAATATTGGTAGAGAAGGGTACAGCTTGCTCAGGAAGGACGGGCGGGGGAAAAGGGAGGAGGTTTTGTCTTATATATTAAAAATGGATAGACTTGGACTGAGGTTGAGATAGAAATAGGAGACAGACTTGTTGAAAGTCTCTGGATAAGGATAAAAGAGGTAAAAACCACGGGTGATGTCATGGTCGGGGTCTACTACAGACCACCTAACCCGGAAGAAGAGGTGAATCAGGCTTTTTTTAAACAACAAACAAAATCCTCCAAAGCCCAGGACTTGGTGGTGATGGGGGACTTCAACTCCCCAGACGTCTCTTGGGAAAATAACCCAGCAGGGCACAGATTATCCAGCAAGTTCTTGGAATGTGTTGGAGACCATTTTTTATTTCAGAAGGAGGAGAAAGCTACCAGGGGAAGGCTGTTCTAGATTTGATTTTGACAAATGGGGAGAAACTGGTTGAGAATTTGAAAGTGGAAGGCAGCCTGGGTGGAAGTGATCATGAAATGAGAGAGTTCACGATTCTAGGGAATGGTAGGAGGGAGAACAGCACAATAAAGACAATGGATTTCAAGAAGGCAGACTTTAGCAAACTCAGGGTTTTGGTAGGTCAGATCCCATGGGAAGCGAGTCTAAGGGGAAAAACAATTGAAGACAGTTGGCAGTTTTTCAGAGAGACATTACTAAGGGCACAAGAGCAAACTGCGTAGGAAAGACGGGAAGTATGGCAAGAGACCAGCCTGGCTTACCCAGGAGATCTTCAATGATCTGAAACTCAAAGAGTCCTACAAAAAGTGGAAACTCGGTCAAATTACAAAGGATGAATACAAACAATACATACAAGTATGTAGGGACAAAATTAGAAAGGCCAAGGCACAAAATGAGATCAAACGAGCTAGGGACATAGAAGGAAACAAGAAAACTTTCTACAAATACATGAGCAGCGAGAGGAAGAGACCAAGGACAGGGTAAGCCCGTTACTCAATGAGGGGGGAAAAGACAATAACAGAAAAGGTGGAAATGGCAGAGGTGCTGAATGACTTGTTTCGGTTTTCACCAAGAAAGTTGGTGGCGATTGGACATCTAACGTAGTGAATGCCGGTGAAAATGAGGTAGGATCAGAGTCTAAAATAGGGAAAGAACAAGTCAAAAATTACTTAAGACAAGTTAGATGTCTTCAAATCACCAGGGCCTGATGAAATGCGTCCTAGAATACTCAAGGAGCTGACTGAGGAGATATCTGAGCCATGAGCGATTATCTTTGAAAAGTCATGGAAGACGGGAGACATTCCAGAAGACTGGAAAAGGGCAAATATAGTACCCATTTATTAAAAGGGAAATAAGCACAACCTGGGGAATTACAGACCAGTCAACTTAACTTCTGTACCCGGAAAGATAATTGAGCAAATAATTAACCAATCAATTTGCAAACACCTAACATAAGAATGGCCCTACTGGGTCAGACCAAGAGTCCATCTAGCCCAGTGTCCTGTCTTCCAACAGTGGCCAGTGCCAGGTACCCCAGAGGGAATGAACAGAACAGGTATGATCATCCAGTGATCCGTCCCCTGTCACCCATTCCCAGCTTCTGGCAAACAGGGGCTAGGGACACCATCCCCGCCCACCCTGGCTAATAGCCATTGATGGACCTGTCCTCCAGGAACTTATCTAGTTCTTTTTTGAACCCTGTTATGGTCTTAGCCTTCACCACATCCTCTGGCAAGGAGTTCCACAGGTTGACTGTGCGTTGTGTGAAGAAATACTTCCTTTTGTTTGTTTTAAACCTGCTGCCTATTAATTTCATTTGGTGCCCCCAGTTCTTGTGTTATGAGAAGTAGTAAGCAACACTTCCTTATCTACTTTCGCCACACCAGTCATGATTTTATAGACCTCAATCATATCTCCCCTTAGCCGTCTCTTTTCCAAGCTGAAAAGTCCCAGTTTTATTAATCTTTCCTCATACAGAAGCTGATCCATCCCCCTATTAACTTTTGTTGCCCTTTTCTGAACCTTTTCCAATTCCAACAGATCTTTTTGGTGATGGGGCGACCACATCTGCACGCAGTATTCAAGAGGTGGGCGTACCATGGATTTATAGAGAGGCAACATGATATTTTCTGTCCTATTACCTAACCCTTTCTTAATGATTCCCAGTATTCTGTTCGCTTTTTTGACGGCCGCTGCACGTTGAGTGGATGTTTTCAGAGAACTATCACAATGACCCCAAGATCTCTCTCTTGAGTGGTAACAGCTAATTTAGACCCCATCATTGTATATGTATAGTTGGGATTATGTTTTCCAGTGTGCATCACTTTGCATTTATCAACCTTAAATTTCATCGGCCATTTTGTTGCCCAGTCACCCAGTTTTGAGAGATCTTTTTGTAGCTCTTTGCAGTCTGCCTGGGACTTAACTATCCTGAGTAGTTTTGTATCATCTGCAAATTTTGCCACCTCACTGTTGACCCCTTTTTCCAGATCATCTATGAATATGTTGAATAGGACTGGTCCCAGAACAGACCTCTGTGGGACACCACTATTTACCTCTCTCAATTCTGAAAACTGACCATTTATACCTACCCTTTGTTTCCTGTCTTTTACCCAGTTACCGATCCATGAGAGGACCTTCCCTCTTATCCTGTGGCAGCTGACTTTGCGTAAGAGCCTTTGGTGAGGGAACTTATCAAAGGCTTTCTGAAAATCTAAGTACACTGTATCCACTGGATCTCCTTTGTCTGTGTGCTTGTTGACACCCCTCAAAGAATTCTAGTAGATTGGTGAGGCATGATTTCCCTTTACAAAAACCATGTTGACTCTTCCTCAACAAATTATGTTAATCTATATGTCTGACAATATTGTTCTTTATTATAGTTTCAAGCAGTTTGCCTGGTACTGAAGTCAGGCTTACCGGCCTGTAATTGCCGGGATCGCCTCTGGAGCCCTTTTTAAAAATTGGCGTCACAGTAGCTCCCCTCCAGTCATTTGGTCCAGAAGCTGATTTAAATGACAGGTTACGGATGACAGTTAGTAGTTCTGCAATTTCACATTTGAGTTCCTTCCAAACTCTTGGGTGAATCCCATCTCGTCCTGGTGACTTAATTTATCCGTTTTTTTCCAAAACCTCCTCTAATGATACCTCAATCTGGGACAGTTCCTCAGATTTGTCACCTAAAAAGAATGGCTCGGGTTTGGGAATCTTCCTCACATCCTCAGCCGTGAAGATGGATGTAAAGAATTCATTTATTTCTCCACAATGGTCTTATTTCTCCACAATTATCCTTGAGTGCTCCTTTAGCACCTCGATTGTCCAGTGGCCCAACTGGTTGTTTAGCAGATTTCCTGCTTCTGATGTACTTACGAAAAAAAATTTTGATATTACTTTTAGAGTCTTTGGCTAACTGTTCCTCAAATTCTTTTTTGGCCTTCCTAATGGTATTTTTACACTTCATTTTCCAGTGTTTATGCTCCTTTCCTCACTAGGATTTAACTTACACTTTTTAAAGGATGCCTTTTTGCCTCTCACTGCTTCTTTTACTTTGTTGTTTAGCCACGGTGGCTCTTTTTTGGTTCTCTTACTATGTTTTTTAATCTGGGGTATACATTTAAGTTGAGCCTCTATTATGGGGTCTTTAAAAGGTTTCCAAGCAGCTTGCAGAGATTTCACTTTGGGCACTGTACCCTTTCATTTCTGTTTAACTAACTTCCTCATTTTTGTGTATTTCCCCTTTCTGAAATTAAATGCTACAGTGTTGGGCCGCTGTGGTGTTTTTCCTGCCACAGGGATATTAAATTTAATTATATTATGGTCACTATTACCAAGCAGTCTAGCTAGATTCACCTCTTGGACCAGATCCTGTGCTCCACTTAGGACTAAATCAAGAATTGCCTCTCCTCTGGTGGGTTCCAGGACCAGCTCCTCCAAGAAGCAGCCATTTAAGGTGTCAAGAAATTTTATCTCTGCAGCCCGTCCTGAGGTGATATGTACCCAGTCAATACGGGGATAGCTGAAATCCCCCATTATTATTATTGAGTTTTTTTATTTTAATAGCCTCTCTAATCTCCCTGAGCATTTCACAGTCACTATCACCGTCCTGGTCAGGTGGTCGGTAATATATCCCTTCCGCTATATTCTTATTATTAGAGCACGGAATTACTATCCATACAGATTCTTCGGTACAATTTGATTCATTTGACTCTATGCTTTCTTTCACATATAATGCCACTCCCCCACCAGTACGACCTGTTCTGTCCTTCTGATATGTTTTGTACCTTGGTATTACTGTATCCCATTGATTATCCTCATTCCACCAAGTTTCTGTGATGCCTGTTATTTCAATATCCTCATTTAATACTAGGCGCTCTAGTTCATCCATTTTATTATTTAGACTTCTGGCATTGGTATATAAGCACTTTAAAAACTTGTCTCCGTTTAGCTGTCTGCTGTTACATGATGTAATTGAATGGGACAGATAATAACCTAGAAGCTGATAAGGTGATAACAGTCAGCATGGATTTGTCAAGAACAAATCGTGTCAAACCAACCTGATAGCTTTCTTTGACAGGGTAACAAGCCTTGTGGATAGTGGGGAAGCGGTAGATGTGGTCTATCTTGACTTTAGTAAGGTTTTTGATACTGTCTCGCTTGACCTTCTCATAAATAACCTAGATGGAGGGTGCAAAACTGGTTGGAAAACCGTTCCCAGAGAGTAGTTCTCCGTGGTTCACAGTCAGGCTGGAAGGGCGTGAGAGGGGTCCCACATGGATCGGTTCTGTTCAATAATAGCATAGAGAGGACACTGATAAAGTTTGCGGACGACACCAAGCTGGGAGGGGCTGCGAGTGCTTTGGAGGATAGGATTAAAATTCAAAATGATCTGGACAAACCGGAGAAATGGTCTGAAGTAAATAGGATGAAATTCAATCAGGACAAATGCAAAGTACTCCCCCTAGGAAGGAACAATCAGTTACACACACACGCAATGGGAAAGGACGGCCTAGGAAGGAGTACTGGGGAAAGGGATCTGGGGCTCACAGTGGACCACAAGCTAAATATGAGTCAACAGGGTGACGCTGTTGCAAAACAAGCCAACATCGTTCTGAGCTGTATTAGCAGGAGCGCTGTAAGCAAGACCCAAGAAGTAATTCTTCTGCTCTGCTCCCGGCTGATTAGGCCTCAGCTGGAGGAGTGTGTCCAGTTCTGGGCGCCACATTTCAGGAAAGAGGTAGACAAATTGGAGAGAAAAGGAGGACTTGTGGCACCTTAGAGACTAACCAATTTATTTGAGCATGAGCTTTCGTGAGCTACAGCTCACTTCATCGGATGAAGCTCATGCTCAAAAATGCTCCTTTTCTTTTTGCGAATACAGACTAACACGGCTGTTACTCTGAAATTGGAGAGAGGCCAGAGAAGAGCAACACAAATGATGAAAGGTCTAGAAAACATGAGTGATGAGGGAAGATTGAAAAACTTGGGTTTGTTTAGTCTGGAGAAGAGAAGCCTGAGAGGGGCCATGAGAACAGTTTTCAAGCGCATAAAAGGTTGTTACAAGGAGGGAGAAGAATTGTTCTTCTTAACCTCTGAGGCTAGGACAAGAAGCAGTGGGCTTAAATTGCAGCGAGGACGGTTTAGGTTGGACATTAGAAGAACTTCCTACCTGTCGGGGTGGTGAAGCCCTGGAATAAATCGCCCAGGGCGGTTGTGGGATCTCCATCATGGGGGATTTGTAAGAGCAGGTTGGACAAACCCGTCAGGGATGGTCTAGATAATCCTTAGTCCGGCCACGAGTGCAGGGGACGGGACGAGAGACCTCTCGAGACCCCTTCCAGTTCTATGACTCTATGATGTGCCCCCCAGGTGTTCCTAGAGGTGCTGCCACGGTACCTGGGCTCGGCCCTGGAACCCATGGGGGACCCCTGGGCCGCGCCCCCGGCCCGGCGGCGCAGCTCCTTCGCCATCATGCTCAAAGCGGAGGAGTACATCCTCAAGAAGCCGCGCAGCGAGATCCTCTTTGAGCGGCAGGGCCAGCGGCATGGCCTCACCAGGCCCCCCGCCTGTGGTGAGAGACCCTCCTCCCCCACACCCCACTGCCAGGGAAACGCAGTGTTAGTTCAGGAGCTGGGACTCCTGGGTCCCTGACTCTGCCCTGCCCCCTCTCTCTGCAGATGGGGTGGATGTGGGTGTCACCAGCACCTTGTACAAGAACCTGGCCAACGCGGCCCCCGAGATCCGGGCGTGCGTGGAGGCCTGCACCTTCATCACAGAGACCACAAGGGAGCAGAATGCCAGCAGTGCCGTGAGTCCCACATCGAGCTGCCCCACACCAGCCTGCCCCAGCGCCCCCTACAGGGGAAAATCCCTGGGTCCTATCTCCTATTCTGACTCTTAATCTAATCCACCTGCCCCCACTCCTCTCCCAGAGCCGGGGAGAGAACCCAGGAGTCCTGGCTCCCGCCCCCACACCCCCCGTGCTCTAATCACAGGGGACCCAGGCATCCTGACGCCCCTCTCTCTGCCACGCAGGCGATGGAGAACTGGGTGCTGATCGGGAAGGTGATTGACAAGCTCTGCTTCTGTGCCGCCATCCTGCTCTTCACCATCGGCACCCTCAGCATTTTCCTCATGGGACATTTCAACCAGGTGCCCGACGACCCCTTCCCCCTGCAGCCGGACCCATAGCTGGGACCCCGCCCTGCCCTCCCCCTGGCTGACAGGGGTATCAACACACAATGAGGTAGCCAGGCGGACAAGTGTGTTCTCTGGATGGGAGCCCTCCTCACCCCACTCCCTGCAGCACGGCACCGGGGCCAGCCCTGATCCCGCAGCCTAGGAGCCTTGGCCCAGGGCCAGCCACAGCCTGGGGAAGTCACTAGACTTTTACCCACAATCCCCTAGTCCCAAGCAGCTGCAGGCCCCCCTACAGGGCTGGGCTCAGCAATGCTGCTGGTATTGGGGAGGGACGCCCCACCCCCAGACATGGACGTATCTCAGCACCGGGCGAGGGATCCCTGTATCAACCCCACCCCAGACACAGCCGCATCACGTGAGGGATCCACGTGAACAGCCCCCACACCCCACCCCCGAGGCAGCTGCATCTCAGCCCCCATGACTCTCCCCTCCAGACCAGCAAGGAGATTCTGGGGACTTACAGCTCTTTGGAAGAAGCTCTAGTCCAGACATGTGGGGTCTGGACCTTGTCACAGCACCTGCTGGGCTAGTGTAGATGGGCCCTGTGGCTCCCAACTCCAGACCAGGCTGCCCCACACCTGGTCCACCTCACCTTCCCAGCCTTGCTGATTGTGGCTGGTGCCCTGGGTGGGGGAGATGAATGTGATCACACACCAGCTCGAAGTTAGCGGCTCCGGGCCAGGGGTTAACCTGCGTGCCGCCTAGGGTCACCAGCAGTCTACGGTTTGGTGCCAACCACCTGGTGTCCGTCCCCACCACCTCCCTCCAGCACCTCTCTGAGCCTGGGGTTGCTGCCCTCACCCGCGTGGCCCTGGCTCACAACGGTTCACAGAGCTGATTCCCGGGGGCAGCTGCGGACCCTGCCTGAGCGGGCCTGCGAGTGGCTGACCAGGCTGCGGGACAACGCCCTGGAGGAGCCGCTGCGGCTGTCGGGGAACCGGTTCCACACCCTGCCCAGCGGCTTCTTCCCACGACTGCGGGCTGGCCTATCCCTGACAACCGCTTCAGAGTCTCCACCCAAGAGCAGGGGCTGGATGGGCTGCCCACTGAGAACGAGCCCCTGAGGTAGTCACACTCGGTTCATTTATTCCCTGTCTTCCTGCGCTGCTTGACAGGGACTCATTTCTCCGGCAAGGTGGCCATCAGCCAGCCCCATAGCACGCTGCCTGAGGGGTAAAAGCCCCCATGGGGTACAGCCTACCTGCAATTGGTTCTACCAGCACAGGGCGAGGCGGTGGGGACCTGAGCCCTGCACGTTTCGTTAAAGCAAAGCAGAAGCTGGCAGAGGTAAATACAGAGCGTGCTCTGGTAGTCCGGTCCCCGCTGGCACCATGGCTGTCTGAGGTCGCTCGGTCCTGGCCCGAGTGGGCCAGCAATTTCCCTTCCCTTTTGTCCACTCCAGCCAATAAAGTCATGCCTTGTAACCCAGCGGGCACTTTCAGGCTTGCTTTTCTGATTGATATGCAGGGCAGTGACCGACCTGACTAGGGATTGCTGGGCAGTGGGTGCAAAGGGGTAACAAGTTGCTGGAGACATGAGGTGTCTCTCTCTCCTAACTCCTTGGGGCTGTGTGGCTGGGTCCTTAAAGGGCTGTGTGAACCCGACCCACATCCATGGAGGAGCTGGCGAGAACCGAACAGACACCTCCCAAGAAGAAATCCCGCCATCAGGCGGAAGATGTGAACTCAGCAGGGGGCTCCGATGGGAGGCTAGGGTACAACCGGCCTTGGGAGAGGGACAGGCACTCACCCGGGACAGAGAGAGAGAGCGAGCCAAGATGGCATGGCCAAGGCGCACTGTGTCTGACGCTGCGCTTCTCTACACTAACGTCAGGCCTCCAGGGCGCTAATAAACCCTGCTCTGCTCTGAAAAGGCGGCCGGGCGTCACTGCAGACAGCGGCTGGGCACCCGGGTCCCTGCAGAGCGGACAAGGCTCTCACGGGGCAGAGCTCGCCAGGTGAAGCAGGCTGGAGCCCCGAGGCACAGCTGACCCGTAGGCCTTGGGGGTCTGACACACTGAAGGGGTTCCTCCCAGGACCTGTTTAAAAGCTGGGGCGTAGCTCAGAACCCGTAGATCCGTGACATGCTGCTGCACTGTTGCCGAGGTGTCCTTCCTCCCTGCCCCCTGCAGGAACCCCAAAGCAAACGTGCCAGTAGGACCATGATCTGTTTACTGAGTTCAAAGCAAATAGAAGGGGGAGAGACAAGATAAAAAGCTCGGCCCAACGCACAGACCTACACCTCGCATGCGGGTCGGCCATTGCCACCCGAGGGTTTGCGTTCCAAAGTAACTGGCCCAGTCTCGAACCCCCCAAATAAATAATCCAGAGTCGTCTGGAGCACCCCACCCCAGTCCATACAGAAGCTGTGCCATCCTCCCCGCCGATCCTTTCACGTGATTTGGGAAACAGGGAAGAACTGTGACGTGACTGACACCAAACACAGAGGAAGGGGAGGGGCTCCAGCCGGATCCTTGCTTCAGACCCCAGTGAGAGCCGGGGCTGGTTCCCCAGCAGCAGGCAGACGCTGGCCTGGCGGAGGGGCTGCGCTCTGGGGAGGGGGCGCCCAGCAGCGGCAGGGCAGGACCTCCTCTTAGGCACTGAGGAAGAACTTCTTGTAGAATATGTTCATCTGCTCGAGGAAGATGAAGGTCAGGACCGTGTGGGGGCCCAGGCGGGCGTAGTAGGGGGTGAAGCCCTTCCAGAGGCTGAAGAACCCCTCGTAGCGGATGACTTTCAGCAGCACATCCTGGAATTCAGAAAGCAGAGGTCAGCACGCCGCAGATGATACTCCGGGGCCGCCACGCCCCTGCACTGGCTAGTCGCTCGAGCAAGCGGTGGGGAGGCAGGACTCCTGGGTTCTATTCCTGGTTCTGTCACTGACTCTGTAGCTTCCAGCAAGCCACTTCTCAATCTCTCTCCCTGCCTCAGTTTCCTTCGCCGTACAACACTGTCTGAGCTCCCGGAGCCGGGATATTAATGAATATCAGCGGAGCACTGTCAGTCCCCCGGCTTTTCTCCCAAGTCTCATATCTGAGCGGCCACTGCCCCCCAGTGGCCAGATGGATTCAGGACCGGTGAAGAGACACACCGGGACTGCGCCGTCGGCACAACGCAGCCGGCGTATATTTAATGAGGACGCCACGCTGAACGTGACACAGAGGAGGTGACCATCGTATGTCTTCACTTGACTGTCCTCCTGAGTCCCCTTTGCTTTCCCTGGACACGGGCATTTGGAGAAGTGCTTTCTCCCCCTGCCCCAGCGTCACGGATTCACATGCAGGGTCCACCAGCCTTGCAAGGGCTCGGAGCAAAGGTGTGATGGGTGAGTGACTCTGAGTTAAAAGCCTGATGAGAATATTCCTCCACACCCCGGAGGTTAAAGCCCCTGGGTCCTGTTCTCCCAGGCAGCCAGGTGACCGGAGCGGGTGCAGAACGGAGTGGCTCCCTGTCCATGGGGAGACTCCGAGATTGGGCAGCGGTAAGAATTCCTGAACTAACCACCACAGAGAGGGAGTTCGCGGCGGGAAATCACCTGCCTGTCGAGGTAACTTTCCTAGCCACGCAGTAGGGGCTCAGAGCTGGCTGCTCAGAACCCCTCCAATAATATCCAGAGCCCCCTGTATCTGGGCTGAGGCGATGGGCCACACGGTGCACCCAAGCACTCCACGGGCCTGGGCCCTCTCTCACCACCAAACATTTCCACCTCGTTTCCAGGCTGAATTTCTCCAGCTTCCAGCCCTCGGACCGGGTTAGACTGCTAGACTGAAGAGCCCGTTACTGACTATTTGTTCCGCAAGTCAGTACTTAAAGACCCCCTTCGCCTTCTCTTTGTTAAGCTAATTGAGCTCCTGGAGTCTCTCACTCGAAGGCAGGGTTTTTAATCCTTCTCGTGGCTCTTCTCTGACCCCTCTCCGATTAATCACCCTCCGGCTGGAACTGAGGGCACCCGCGATGCCCAATCCAGCCGTAAAATCACCTCTCTGCCCCTACTCGAGAATGCCGCTTATGCAGCCCGGGATCGCATCAGCCCTTGTGGTCACAGCGTCGCACCGGGAGCTCCCGTACAGCGATTCTCCGCCCCCCAAACTGACAGCTCCCATCTCCACACGGCTTTGAGGTACAGGACAAAATGTCTGGACCCCATGGTACAGCCGAGTGCTTCATCTCACTGGACAGCTGGGGCGTTCTCCCCCGACGACTGCACCTGGCTCCTTACCAGAGCTTGACCTTCTACGCTTGCCATAGGCGCCTCCATTTCCCCACGGCCAGGAGGGAAGCACAGCTGCTCTATCAATAGAAACATGCCCTATGGAGCGGCAGCGTGAACCCACCATCTGGTCACAGGGGCAGGAATATTCATCCAAGGACACAACACCCCAAGCGCGACCAAGGGCAGAAAACGGCCCATCCCAGCATGTGCCCTGGCTCCAGCTATCACTTACCAGCCCATTCTTGTACTCCGGCTTCCCGTCTATCATCCGCATGTTCTGAATCCTGTGTGCCCGGAGGAAAGGGGGGGAGGAAGCTTTAAGCCAGCAGCAGGCGCTCAGCGGGGGCCTGCCACTTATTTATACATCAAGATCAGTTTCCACGTATCTAGGGATCAAGGGTGGATCTGGGACAAGGGAAGCCTGCAGTCCAGACTAGCTTGCCCTGTGATCCCTGCAGCCGAAGCAAGGTCAAGTCTTTATGAGACCCGCCCCCAGAACAGGGGCACTATGGGTCATGCTCCCTATGTATGCATCCCTGCCCCTGGAAGGTGGGGAAGAGCTCAAATCCCGTGGCCTGTTCGCTGCTGACAGGGGGTGATTCCCTCCTGTGGTGATGGGCACTGCTGTCCCGTTAGGGCTGAGAACTCACCAACTCAGCTCTCAAAATACCCACAAGGGAGGAATGAGGGAGCAGGGATGGATTCCCCTCTAGCAACAAAACCCTCCACTCCCTGTTCCTGACCCATCTCTGTGCCCCCCTCAACCATCCCGGCCTCTGCCGAGGGCACACCCAGCGCTCCTCCCACTCGCCTGGTCTTAGCGATATCCACCGGCATTGAAGCAGCCGTGGTCACCAGCCCGCTGATCATACTGGCACAGAAATGGCAGAAGATGTTGTCTCGGAAGTAACCTGGAGAGGAGAGAGAGGAGTGGTTTTAGGACCCCCTGGAGATCAGAACTAAGCCGTTCTCGAGCAGGGGGGCTAGGAGCCAGGACTCCTGGGTTCTATACCCAGCTCTGGGAGGGGAGTGAGGTCTCGGGGGTTAGAGCAGGGGGAGCTGGGAGCCAGGACTCCTGGGTTCTCTCCCTGGCTCTGGAAGGGGAGTGAAGTCTCGGGGGTTAGAGCAGGTGGGGCTGGGAGCCAGGACTCCTGGGTTCTCCCCGCCCTTCCGATGAGATATTGGGAAACAGGCCTGCCCCTCTCTGTGCTTCAGTCCAATGTGGATAACACTTAACTACCTCCTGGGGGGCAGCCTGGACTGGTTAGCAGGGGAGATGCACCAAGCATAATACTGGCATGTTGGTTGGCTCGAGCAACTTGGCGTGGTGCTATCTCGCAGCCTTGTATTTTATGTCGGACACGTGAGCGGGACTTACCGGAACCCAGCAAGAACTGCTTGGACTGAGAGTAGGAGGCTAACTGGGCAGCGTTCACAACCACCGCTCTGGCCATGGTGGGGACACAGCCCTGCAATGCAAAGAGAGGAGGGGCAGTTAACGGGGGAGGACACGGGAAACACCATGCAGGCACGAGGACGGGGAATCTAAGCGCTTGCCTTGCGTGAGAAGCAGATGCCTGCCACAGACTAACATCCCTTCGGCCCCCTGAACATGTTTGCCCGTAGGCTGTGTGGCCTCACGCCCCATATTCTTCAGAGTAAGATGATGATATGATTATGGCGTAACTACAATGTATTTTATGCAAGATAGGTCCTGTAAGAGGTCATTGAAACGGTTCTGATTCACTGAATAGGATTATCCTAGTTGTATGCATGTATCATTTTGGTAGCTGAGAATACTGAAGTTAAGAATATTGTTTATGCACCTATTACACATGTGTTTACACCTGTGGGCGGCCCATGAGACAGAATGCAAACAAGTCAATGGCCCATTAGGGAGAACAAAAGGTCTGAGAAGATGCTAATCTCCCCCTGGGGAGGCTTCCTGAGGACATTACAACCAGCCTCTGACTCATGGCTGCTATGGCCCTACAGGGGCATGTGACCAAGTCACCTGGTACTGGACCCCATCTTGGAATGCCAGTATTTTTCCACTGAAAGGCGTGGGAACCAAGTTTGGAAACAAAGAGTTCTTGCCATATGCAAAAGCTATTTAAGGCAGGCGAGTGACATCATCCTGGTTCCTCTTCACTGACTCCCCACCCAGAGGAGATGCTTGGGAACACCTGAGAAACAAGGACTGGACTGGGGGAGAAGGGCTGAACCCAGGCTAGAGGGATTTCTAGCCTGTGAAATTTTCAGCTGCAAGCAAGTGCAGCTTGCCTTCCAGAATCTCTGCAACCTGCCTAAAATAACATTTGCTAGACATATCCAATTTCTTTAGCATATTAAGATTACCTAGTAAATAAACAAAAACAATCTAATCTGCTTTGATCTGTTTGCTATCCCTTATAATCACTTAAAATCTGTCTTCTGTAGTTAATAAACTTATTTTTGTTTTGTCCAAAACCAGTGTGTGGAAGTCACAACTGGAGGCAAAAAGCTGTGTGTATTCCTTTCCTGAGGGAGGGGACGAATTTCATGAGCTTACGCTGTACAGTTCCCTGTGCAGCGCAAGACAGTATAATTTTGGCTTTACCCTCCGGATGGGGGGATGCACTTGAGTATCTGGGCAGTTCCTTAGCTGAAGCCTTCCTAGGCAGAGCTGATCTCAGCATCTGTGTGTGTGTTTCTGCAGCTCGGTGAGTCCCTACCTGTATGTGTGCTGGTGAAAGTGTGTCTGCAGCTTGTCACAGGGTGAGGGGGAGTCCAGGCTGGTGGGTCAGATGGGCTCAGTGGTACCCCAGTTCCAGGTGTACCCCAGAGGGTTTGTATCCCACAAACCCAGTCTCCCCCCCTCCGCCCAAGTAAATTCTCCTGGGTACATCTGCCGCCGGGCCTAGCCCTCTAACGAGCGCCGTACCCGCCAGAGTGTCAGAACGCCCTCTTCGCGGGTTATCCTCAGCAGTGCGTTGAAGACGTTGGTGTAGCCTCTCCTCTGGTCACGGGGCAGCCTGGGAATAGGAACAGAGGAAGGGAGCAAGGGGGCAGTTCAGACGCACAGACCCCCTCAGAGCGTGGCCTAGTGGGTTACAGCAGCAGGCTGGGGCCACTGAGTTTCTCATGAGGGCTAGCGGCACCGCCGCCAGGCGAGGAAGCAGCAGCATTACCGCATCATATGCAGTTCAAACCCGCTCACCTGCCATCCGCCGTCATCCTGATGAGCGCCACTTCAGCCGGCGTGCCCACAAAGGCCCCGGTGGCGCCAGCCGTCATCCCGATCCCCGCCTTCATGAAGAAGTTGGGCGGCGTGCCGTCCGCCTTGGTGAGCCTCTCAAAGAGGATGGTGTAGATGCCCAGGCGGGTGGTGGTGTAGGTCGCCTGTCTCAGGAGCCCTGCCGACAGCCTGCCAAGGGTGGGAGGGTTATGGGCCTGTGTGGTTGCTGGACTCCTGGGCTCTAGGCCCGGGTCCAGCTCTGCGGCAACCATGAGAATTAGGTGCGTTTCCTCACAGAGCCGGAGGCCTGGCACACAGGAGGGCCAGAGAAAGGCTGGCCACGACACAAGACATGCGTCTCCCGGCTGCATGGACAGCGATGGCTTCCCGCCTGCACCATGTGTGCCCTGGCCCTCACGAGCACTTGACTTTACCCCTGCACGCACCGAGCATGGCTCAGCTCCGCACTGGGGAAAGGAGCAGAACCGACAAAAGTGAACGCTATACCCACACCGGGCTCAAACATTTCTCACAGGGCCAGTCAGCGCCTGCCGGGAGGCAATGATCCTGGTCACAACACAGCTGGGGCTGTGGTGCCATGTGTAGCCTAGAGGGGAAAGGCCTCACGTCCCGTTCGTCAGTCCCTGTGCCAGAACAAAGGAGTCGTCAGGAAGGTGCCCTCAATCACCCATCCCCGCCCCCTCATACCCAGTGTAGATGCCGCGGACTCCTTCCTTCCTGAGGATGCTCCTGACTGCATGAAAGCTGGTTTTGTACTCTTTGGTCTTGGCTCCTTCCCCGCTCAGCTGCATTCGGTTCTTCACCAGGTCCAGGGGCTGCACAAACACAGTGGCCCCCATGCTGCGGAGCCACAGGGAGCATTTTACAAGAGACAAAACGGAGACAACCGGCCTACACGGTGCAGTTAAGGGGTATCTAAAGTGATCACCTGTATTGGGATAGCGCCTAGGAGCATACATCACGGATCAGGACCCCACTTTAGAGCTGACAGCCTAAGCTTTGGGGTAATATTCTCCTCCATTTCTCACAGGGGACCCAGGAGCCCTGACAGTCAGCCCCCTCCACTAGCCACTCCTCACAAAGCTGCCAGTTGAACCCAGGAGTCCCAAGTGCCAGCTCTACCCATGACAAACACAGGGCAGTTTTCAGAGTAGCAGCCGTGTTAGTCTATTCGCAAAAAGAACAGAAGGACTTGTGGCACCTTAGAGACTAACAAATTTATTTGAGCATAAGCTTTCGTGACTACAGCTCAGTTCATCGGTTGCATTCAGGGCAGTTTATCTGTAAGTGGAAATAGCCAGCTTGCCAGGAAGGGACTGCCACAGCTGTCCAGCCTGCCACAGCGTTCAAATCATCAGGTCCAAAATTCAGACAACCAAATAACTTTCGGACACACGCTCCACTTCGGACTCTGACCCACACGTAAGAGGGGGAGGAGAGAGTGCTTATTTATCAACGCCATAACCCCCAGTTTAGAGAAGAGATTTAGGGAGCGGGCCCAGGAGTTACTACCTAACATCAATGAAAACACTCGCCTTGCTTGCTTTGGACAATCCACAGGGGTGGCACAGACCTACGGGTGACAGCAGGAAGGGGAAGCCTCAGATGTGTGGGTTAGGAAACTCTAGCCTGCCCTCCACTTTCGAACCAGTGCCCTATTGAAGATGAAAGACTTAGCCTGTTCTCTGATTCCCCTGAGCTAGCTGGTCCCCATTCCCGAGAGGGAAGAGACCCTGTATCCTCTGGAGCCAGCCAGTCCTGCCTGGAGCCAGCCAGTCCTCCTAGAGGTGGAAGGGCCCTAGACGGCCAGAGGCTAATAGCACATTTGCTAGGCATGTTCTGGTGAGGATTAAGAGTAAGAGAAACAGCAGCTAACCCTCAGGCGCTGTCCCTCACAAACCTCCTAGTCACGCTAAAGCGCAAGGAAACCCTCAGGCTGTAACAAGTGGATTAACATTTTTGGCCTCGGCAAAGCCATGCTTTGCTCCACACGTAATCCCATGCTGCGCCAGTTTGCCAGGTCCTGAGCACAGCAGGTGATGACCAAACACAGGACACCCCCACTTCACGGGGCAACCAGTCACATCCCTGCCAAGGAACAGCGTTCACTATGGTGCCAGCTAAAACCTAACAAAAAGAAAAGGAGGACTTGTGGCACCTTAGAGACTAACCAATATATTTGAGCATAAGCTTTCGTAAGCATCCGATGAAGTGAGCTGTAGCTCACGAAAGCTCATGCTCAAATAAATTGGTTAGTCTCTAAGGTGCCACAAGTCCTCCTTTTCTTTTTGCGAATACAGACCAACGCGGCTGCTACTCTGAAACCTAAAACCTAATGTTACAAATCCTCGTTTTGGCACATAGGGGAGGGCTCAGTGCTGGCGGGTTATACCCTCCTCTTCTCACAGGCCTCGTGTCTAAGGGCTGCCCGAAGCTTTATTGAACACGGGAAGCCGGTGGCCTGACCAGGAGTCAGGAGATGTGAGGGCTGTTCCCAGCAACTACTGACCCTCTGTGACCTTGGGCAAATAACCGCACCTCTGCATGCTTCACCTGTGTAACACAACCCAGGAGTCAGTGGCAGTCTGTCTTTGCAAAAAGAAAAGGAGACTTGTGGCACCTTAGAGACTAAATACATTGGTTAGTCTCTAAGGTGCCAAAAGTACTCCTTTGACCCAGGAGTCCTGGCTCCCAGCCCCCCTGCTCTCACCCACCAGCCCCCACTCCCCTGCCAGCGCCGGGGGGAGAACCCAGGAGTCCTGGCTCCCAGCCCCCCCGCTCTAACCCACCAGCCCCCACTCCCCTTCCGGAGTCGGGGGGAGAACCCAGGAGTCCTGGCTCCCAGCCCCCCCGCTCTAACCCACCAGCCCCCACTCCCCTTCCCGAGCCGGGAGAGAACCCAGGAGTCCTGGCTCCCAGCCCCCCCGCTCTCACCCAACAGCCCCCACTCCCCTTCCCGAGTGGGGGGGAGAACCCAGGAGTCCTGGCTCCCAGCCCCCCCGCTCTAACCCACCAGCCCCCACTCCCCTTCCGGAGTCAGGGAGAGAACCCAGGAGTCCTGGCTCCCAGCCCCCCCGCTCTCACCCACCAGCCCCCACTCCCCTTCCCAAGTGGGGGGGAGAACCCAGGAGTCCTGGCTCCCAGCCCCCCCGCTCTCACCCAACAGCCCCCACTCCCCTTCCCAAGTGGGGGGGAGAACCCAGGAGTCCGGGCTCCCAGCCCCCCCTGCTCTAACCCACCAGCCCCCACTGCCCTCCCGGAGCCGGGGAGAGAACCCAGGAGTCCTGGCTCCCAGCCCCCCTGCTCTAACCCACCAGCCCCCACTCCCCTTCCCGAGTGGGGGGGAGAACCCAGGAGTCCGGGCTCCCAGCCCCCCCGCTCTCACCCACCAGCCCCCGCTCCCCTTCCCGAGCGGGGGAGAGAACCCAGGAGTCCGGGCTCCCAGCCCCCCCGCTCTCACCCACCAGCCCCCGCTCCCCTTCCCGAGCGGGGGAGAGAACCCAGGAGTCCTGGCTCCCCCAGCTCTAACCCGCTAGACTTCGCTCCCCTCCCAAAGGTCCCGTGTCTCCAGGGCTATGGGGCGTTTGAGAAGAGGCAGGAATTGAGGGGGAGCGAAGGAGGCTGAGTCCGGAAGAGGACGCGGCCATGCAGGGCTCTAGGAGCGCCCCAAGCCCCAACAGGGAAGCGCAGGGGGGGAGGGGTCACGAGGAGGGGGGAGGGGCGTGAGCCAGGGGGAGGGGTCACGGGGAGGGGGGAGGGGTCGCGCTGTGGGGGGAGGGGTCACGAGGAGGGGGGAGGGGCGTGAGCCGGGGGGAGGGGTCACGCTGTGGGGGGAGGGGTCACGGGGAGGGGTCGCGCTGTGGGGGAAAGGTCACGAGGAGGGGGGAGGGGCGTGAGCCGGGGGGAGGGGTCGCGCTGTGGGGGGGAGGGGTCGCGCTGTGGGGGAGGGGTCACGAGGAGGGGGGAGGGGCGTGAGCCGGGGGGGAGGGGCCCCGAGGAGGGGGCGCGGGGAGGGGGGGAGGGGTCGCGCTGTGGGGGAAAGGTCACGAGGAGGGGGGAGGGGCGTGAGCCGGGGGGGAGGGGCCCCGAGGAGGGGGCGCGGGGGGGGGGCGCGCGCGCGGTCTCTCACCCGGCCAGGCCCCCGAACAGGAACTTCACGGCCTTGGGGGAGGTTTGGGGCCGCTCGGGCGCCGCCGCCGCCGCCATCGCCGGGTCCGGCCGGGCCGGGACCAAGGTGACTCCGGCGCCGGGACTGGAGCGAGCGAGCCCGGCTGCGCGCGCAGCCAACAGCGCCCCGGCACGCGGCGGGGCGGGGCGGGGCCAAACCCGGCTGCGCGCGCAGCCAACGACGCTTCCCGAGGCGGGCGGGCGGGAGGGGCGGCTGCGCGCGCAGCCAGGCCGTCTGCCCTCCCCGCGGCGGGAGGGGGTTGCGCGCGTGGCGGCGGGGCCGCCGCTTTTGGCGGGAACGGCGGTTGGCGTTGCCGTTGGGGCGCGCGCGGCCCGTGAGGAGGGGGCGGGGTCAGTAGTGCAGTACTCCCCGGCCAGCGATAAGTAATACTCGGGGCGTGGGGGAGGACAAATACTCCACCCCCAGAAGTAACACTGGCAGGGGGACGCCTGCGCATAACACCCCCGGGGGGAAGTATTCCGCGCCCCCCCCCCACAGCAAACAGTACTCGAGTATTGATACTCGGCACCTAGTGAGCCTTCCCGGGGATACTCAGCGGGGGGTACTCCGGGGCAGCACCACCCAGGAGTAATACTCCCGCGCGAGGATACATACTGAGGGGCGCACGCACACATCCCCCCCCCCCCCCGAGTAATACTCAGGTATCAAAGTCCTCCTGACATGCTCAGCTCCCAGTTATGCTGGGCCAAAAAATAGTGTGTCCCCCCCCAATAATACTTGGGGATCAATACTTGACACCCCCTGCCCCCTACAAATAATGCCCGGGGATGCATGTTCTGTGAACAGCACCACACGTGGCTAATACTCGGGGGCCAGGGTACATACTACACCCACCCCAGAAATAATACTCAGGGATCGGTGTTCCCCCAGGCATGCTCAGCTCATGGTGTCCCCAGGAAATAACACCCTGGGGAAGATAGGAAAATACTCCACAGATATGAATAATAAAGTACTCACTCTGGCCTAGAAATACCTACTTCCCCCCCCCCCCGCCCAGGATAAATACTCCAGGGACAGCACCACTCAAATCATACTTGTGGATCAATACTCTGCACATATTGCCCCTTACAAATAACACCCCAGGGGATAAATACTCAGTGGCCCCAGACATAATACTCTTGGATCAATATTCAGCACAGTGTCCTCTAGAAATATCCCGGGAGGGAATATATACTCCGCACGCTCCCCGGAAATAATACTCAGGCGTCAGTCTTCAACCACTAACATCTCTTGAGAAATGATACGTAGGGGTCAAGGTCAATCCTCAGTTTGCCAATGCTGGCCCTTAGAAGCACCAGGAGATTAATACTCACAATAACCAATGCTGGCCCCTCAGACATAATGGGAGATTAATATTCAACCACCACCATCGCCCGCCTCAAAAATAATACTTGGAGGTTGAGCCTCAATCGTTGTGGATTAATACTCAATCAATACCACCTCTTCAAACATAATACTTGGCATTAACAATCAACTGCCAACATCGCTTCCCTCGGAAATAATACTTGGCAATCAATGCTCAACCACCAGTACCTAGACATCCCTGATTTAACCACGAGACCCCCCTCAACCCCAAGCTGGGGACAGAACCCAGGAGTCCTGGCTCCCAGTCCCCCTGCTCTAACCCACCAGACTCCACTCCCCTTCTGGGGACAGGGAGAGAACCCAGGAGTCCTGGCTCCCAGCCCCCCTGCACTAACCCACTAGATCCCCCTCCTTTCCCAGGGCCAGGAAGAGAACCCAGGAGTCCTGTGTAACCCAGTACTGTGCTACTGATTTCCCCCTCTTTGACAGTATTTGCACAGACATGAATTTCCATCCTTGCCAAGAGACCACAGCTCGACGTAGGCCCCTTCTCGATACTACACGTGTGCCATTCACTTCTGAGCACTCCAGTACCCGTCGTTACCAGCCGGGGACACACACACGCAATTCGTCATTTCAGATGCCCTGCGTGTGAACGACACGCCGAAGACAAACCGCTACAGCTTGGATCTGGGTTACCCCGGCACCTCGATCTGCTCCTCGTGGGGCCGGGCTGGATCGGATGGGTGCTCCAGAGGGCTGCCAGTTTTGCACCCCTGCCAGCTACCGCTCACTCGTGACGCGCTTCCAACTTCTACCTATGAGGGTATGGGGTGCCCCCGCAGGGACACCAGCCTTTAGCACTTCCACATCAGCTTTACTCAGCATGGTTACCGACCACAGGAGCCGCCGCATCCCCTGGCTTGAAGTGGTTTCCATCACTTCCAAGGTTTACAGCTTGATTCAATGCGTCTCAGCACCCCCACTGTACAAATTGTTCCAGGCCCCTGCCCCCCCCCTTACCAGCTTCCTGCATCCCTCTAGCTTCCTGAAATAGCAGCTATCTTCCCCGCCGTTGCTCGAGGCTCTGGACTGCTACGCAGACAGAGAGCAATTAGAAACAGCAGCTGGAACCGCAGCTCTCAGTGGGTTGGGGGCTGAACACCGTGAAATAAGAATTAAGAAACGGGGGTGGCGCTGAGTCTCAGCCCTTCTGCTCTGCCCGGCGGGGGCTGGTGCAGTCCCTCAAGGCTCAAAGCAATCTCTGGAAGGCACGCCCCAGCAGGGTCCAGCAGCGCTTTGTGCCACCCCTCACCCCCAGGCGTTGTACTGCTTCCTCTGCCTCCATGGGGCGGAGCGGCTCACGGGAGGGGAGACTTGGGTGGGGTCAGAATAGGGGATCCCCAGCTCCAGGTATCTGCCAAGGAGATCCCTCCCCCCCACCACTAGCAAAGCTTCCAGGGACAAGATGCAGGGCCTCGTGCTCCTGAATCATCAGGGCATCCAGGAGTATGTCTGCACTGAGCCCAGAGCTGTGGGGCCCAGGCTAGTGGACCCGGTGTTTTGAAGCCCGTAGTGGAGCATCCACACTGCGTTGTAAACCTGGGTGTACAATTGCTGGAGCCGGGTCTCACAGTCGTGCTAATGCGTCCACAACTGCACTGCATAGCCCTTCTGACTGGGGGTCGGTGGCTCAAGCTGCATCCACATTGCGAAATGCCAGGGCTTGGACCCAGCTCACAGCAGGACTCTAGCCCTGAGTCAGACTGATTGGCGTGTGGACGGAACAGGAGCTCGGGCTCAAACCGGAGTCGAAGCACAGTCCGCGTAGACACACCCCAGGCGCCCTGCTCGTGTGGCTTTGCAGCTGAGACAGGACAGCCTCCCCGAGGGAGGGAAAGTGCTCTCCGGTTACTAGCTGGGGCGTGAACGGCTGTTGAGTGCATCGCTCATGAGATGGCAGCACAGCCCGTGCAAATAAAAAGGGCCCAACTGTCTCTAGGAAGAAGATGCCCACTAACCCTCTCCTAGGACTCCTGGGCTTTATTCTTGCCTCTGGGAGGGGAGTGTGGTCTCCTGGTTAGAGCAGGGGGGTGCCAGGAGCCAGCACCCATGGGTGGGCAATCTTGGCAAAGCGGGTTTTGCTCCTCGGGCTGAACAGCGCTGCATGCTGCATGCAGAGTCACGTGCGTTAGTTTTGTTTTGCACCAAATTCTGTGCCTCTTTCTGTGAGCTGGTTGGAAGGGGAGACCCGACTGGGCTGGGGGGTAACATGGTACCTGGCCTTCACAGAGCAATGGGGCAGGTGTGGGGGAATGAACTCCCAGGCTGGGATTCCTTAGACTCAGAGAATATCAGGGTTGGAAGGGACCTCAGTCCAACCCCCTGCTCAAAGCAGGACCAATCCCCAACTAAATCATCCCAGCCAGGGCTTTGTCAAGCCTGACCTTAAAAACCACCACCTCCCTAGGTAACGCATTCCAGCGTTTCACCACCCTCCTAGTGAAAAAGTTTTTCAAAATATCCAACCTAAACCTCCCCCACTGCAACTTGAGACCATTACTCCTCGTTCTGTCATCTGCTACCACTGAGAACAGTCTAGCTCCATCCTCTTTGGAACCCCCTTTCAGGTAGTTGAAAGCAGCTATCAAATCCCCCCTCATTCTTCTCTTCCGCAGACTAAACAATCCCAGTTCCCTCAGCCTCTCCTCGTAAGTCATGTGTTCCAGCCCCCTAATCATTTTTGTTGCCCTCCGCTGGACATTTTCCAATTTTTCCACATCCTTCTTGTCGTGTGGGGCCCAAAACTGGACACAGTACTCCAGATGAGGCCTCACCCATGTCAAATAGAGGGGAAAGATCATGTCCCTCGGTCTGCTGGCAATGTCCCTACATATACATCCCAAAATGCCACTGGCCTTCTTGGCAACAAGGGCACACTGTTGACTCATATCCAGCTTCTCGTCCACTGTCACCCCTAGGTCCTTTTCTGCAGAACTGCTGCCGAGCCATTCAGTCCCTAGTCTGTAGCTGTGCATTGGGATTCTTCCGTCCTAAGTGCAGGACCCTGCACTTGTCCTTATTGAACCTCATCAGATTTCTTTTGGCCCAATCCTCCAATTTGTCTAGGTCCCTCTGTATCCTATCCCTACCCTCCAGCGTATCTACCTCTCCTCCCAGTTTAGTGTCACCTGCAAACTTGCTGAGGGTGCAATCCACACCATCCTCCAGATCATTAATGAAGATACTGAACAAAACCGGCCCCAGGACCGACCCTTGGGGAACTCCACTTGACACCGGCTGCCAACTAGACATGGAGCCATTGATCACTCCCCGCTGAGCCCAACAATCTAGCCAGCTTTCTATCCATCTTATCGTCCATTCATCCAGCCCATACTTCTTTAACTTGCTGGCAAGAATACCGTGAATTCCTTTGGCTCTGAGGCTGGCACGTTGAATCCTTGTCCCAGACTCGGTTTCACTTCTCCCCTGGCTGAGCTGAGAGAGACTTTCCTCTGGCTTTTCGCTCCGTGGGGCAGCCAGGGAACCTGCAGGCTGCCCGGCCAGGGGCTGAGACCCAGAGAAACGTGAATGCACCAGAACAAGCCAGAGAGCCTGGCAGCAAGGCGCAGAACATGGAGCAGGCATGGGGGTCATTACTGACACCAGGGGAGAGAGCGCCCCCTGCAGCACCGTGCCCCCTAGCACCGTCTGGGGCATTGGGGTCAGGACTAGTGCCCCCTACAGAGCCCCCCACCCTGCAGATGGGTGCCCCCTAGAAATGAGAGACCTTGGGGGTGAGG